ATAGACCTGTTATCTGTTGTTAAGTTTCATGAATTAAAGGAAATCTCTGGTGTGGTTTTGGCACAGACCCTGTCAGTCTGGCAATCCCAAGCAATTTCTGGTCATGATTCAGGGGTTAGGCCAGGCCACAGACACCCACAGAGGGGTTAGATTCAGTCTTCCTTTTCTGGAGGCTAAGAGAATTTAACGGTATGGACGTGCCAAGACATACTAGCCAGCCTCGAGGCCAAAGAAACAGTCTCTGCTACCATTTAATTTATTTGTAGGCCAAGAGTTGGTTTGACCTGTGGGAAAGGTGACCTTTCGAGCATACCTAAAGCCATACCAAATTGTGCTCGCTGACACCATTCCTTGAAGTTAGCCTGCAAGTCAAATCTTTTGGTATTAAAGCAGCAATCCCTAAACATTTCTACTTGAGTGTCTGCTTCTAGAATCATAATCTCACTTTTGCTTAAATTTCCATGTTTTTCATCCCAAGACTGGGAATCTTGGCTTTGCTTGCTTCCACAACCATGTACCCACAATTAAGCAGCCTGATGCTTTTTGCATCAGATAGGTACAAAAGAAACCATTTCTTCTTTGAAACGTAGCATTAGAAATTTCACAAACCTGTCTAAGTGATTTAGGAGTGTAGGCTCTCAAAATATTTAAGTTTATATAGAGCAAGTCTGACAGCTAAAGAGCAAGGATAGATGGTAAAGTCAAGATTAGTTCTCAGGAACTCCCCTCAGTGATCTGACTAACAGTTATTTCGCAGAAGCTTGTCTGAATTTAAATATATTACTTATTAGCCTCTGAGATGGCTTCTGAGAAATCTGTTTCCTTTTATATATGACTATTTTTTATGCTAGTCATTTTAACTGAACTTGTTTGCTAACACATTATACAAAGCAGCATGGTTTTTGCTTCTGATCACTGGATTGGAGGTTATGTCTGCTGCAAACTTGGTTCAACTTAAAAGTTATCACTGGCATATACAGATAAGCCTATATTTCATCTGAAAGACTGAAAGAGTTTTAGCTCTTTTTCCTTTCTTAAAAGTTTTTTTTTCTTTCTTTTTTCTTCACACAGTGCTATTCATTTAAGTGGTGCTGAGGACTGTTCTGTCTTACAAATGTAATGGAAGCAGGAAATTTGTGATTTAACAGAAATATTCAACAAATCTCAGTATTCTGGAAGCTCATATAGCATGCTGACAGCAAAGGACCCTTGGCTGTTTTGAGGGGGAATGCTTCCCTTTTGGCAGACTCCAAAAATCAGAGTGCCTTTTGGCCACCAGATAGCAGTGCTTCACTATATACGTCTCAGCTCCATTGCAGTATTTCTCACTGCTGTAGAAAAATCCGCGTAGAGGGCCTTGGTCTCTGGCTCTGTCCCTTGCTCAGGCACATCTTTTACAGGCTTCACTGTAGATTTTAGTTGAAGAAAGGAAAGATTTTGGAGTTAATGATGATTTATACGTTCAGGAGGGATCACGATTGCTCCAGCTTTCCTGAATGGGGAGAGTTGGTTGCAAAAATATATCGGATTGCAGGCCTTGTAGTTGTCATTTCCAATGACAAAAATCCCAAAGAAAATCTTGGACTTCTCTCTTGTTGCTAATGGATGTCCTTGTTTGCTGTTAGTGTTTCAGACATATTTCAGAAAGGCAAATTTTAGGTTCTCAAAACATAAACCCAACATAGTTATATGATTTCAGTAATTTATAATTTCTGCCAGCTCTTTCAAAATCTCTGCCTTTCTCTTAATTTAAAAAGCTGTTAACAGAAGAGTCTATATAATATTTTTAGTAAAAAAGTCCCCATTCTTCCCTGTAATTATTGAAGTGCCAATAACGCAATATGTGGTATAATAATGGTCTTAACGCAATGTACATTTACATCTCCTTACAAGACCTTGGTGTTATCCTGCGTTTCGCAGAGGTACCTTCAGAGCTCAGGTAAGATACACAGAGCAGTGGGAATGGGGGGGGGAAAAAAAAGAGAGAGAGAGTTTATTACTCTGTTTATTACTCCTTGATTTTCAGTGATCCCAGCTTTGATCTTAAGGCACCTCAGACGCTCTAACTTGCCACGGCCAGCCGTGATCCCCAGGGCTGAACACGGGAGCCGAAGCTGCCGCGGGGAGCTGAAAGCGCTCCCGGTTCGGGTTATCCCGATGCCGCGGCCCCT